GAATGCACGATATTGTCCCACGATGCCCCAGGCAACAGAAGTGCAGTAATTAATCCTCCATGTTGTCCAAGCGACTAGGGCATGCAGATCCAAGTGGTTGAAGATCGGGTGTTTCTGGTGTCTTTATAATGCATTTTTGAGTGACGAAATAGATACACTGTTTGCGAGCGCACCTAGTTATCAAATGTGCGAGGGCACCCCAGGGGCGTAGGCTACACTTCTCCTGAAAGGGAGATATGGTCCAGTAGGACACCATTCTCTGCCGTTATCTTTATAGGTCTCCGGGTATCTGTCAACCGCGAAGCCTTCCTTCTTCTTCCTCTTTCCTTCCTCCTTCCTTCTTTTTCTTCCTTCCTTCTGATACCCCTCTTCCTTATTTCCTTTCCTCTAAATGCTTGACCAGAAGATGCGATGAGAAAACATCTCTGGACCCTCGCAGCGAGAGAACATCCGGTTGACAGATGCCTTGTAACCTTATCACTACTGCTGCCCCTCGTCTCTCTGCCTCTCGCCGCTCTCCATCCATACTCCTTCCACGCATGCTCTGAGTGATTATAGTGCGGCGCACGGTATGATCGATATCTCCCTGTCTCCCCCAGCACATGTCGTGAAGGGAAGGGGGTGATTTTGGGAGAGTAGGTGAACAGAGATGCAGAGAGACAGAAGCAGAGAGACGAGGGTAGGGATAGATGCGCAGACAGATTGGTGAGAATCTACCCTACGAGGGGAATTACAGTATACGGCTATCATTTAATCTCTGAACCTGATTTTGAAAAAGTTTGCTGTAGCTTAGCGTTTTTTGCAGTTTTGGGAAATGTTTGCTCCGTATAGAACCTGGCTGCGCTAATTCGGGGAATCAACCTTGTAAAAGTTCAAAAACTCACCATCACAGTACAGACAACCTTTCAAGTGCCTCCAGAGACCGGCAGTCCATAGGCAACTCGGATTAATGCACTCATCTCGTGTTCCGTCGTATATGTCCTTAATCACAAAGAAGTGAGGCATCATACCCTACTCTATACTCTACACTGCCCCATCCGACATCTAGCCAGTTTTTGAACGACTTTTGGCTAAAAAGTTGTTCCTTGGTAGTTTGACCTCCTGAACATGAATATCACATCCGCTCGGCACGAAACCTCCTGGCGCCCGCGCCACAGGCGCCGGCGCCAAAATACCCTAAATCACCAAATTCGCTGAAAACTTGTTCCAGGGGTAGTCTGACCTCCTGAACACGAATATCTATACCATATCTCCAGTATCTCCAAACTTCCCGACGCCCGCGCCACAGGCCCTGGCGCAAAATATGTCAAATCACGGATCCTGTGGCGCGGGCGCCAGGAAGTTTCGGGCTGAGCGAATGTGATATTCGTATTCTGGAGGTCAAAACACCCAGGAGACAACATTTGAGCCAAATCTGTCCATGGAGGAAAAAGTCGGTCAAAGCTCACTTGCGGATGGGTGGGGCAGTAATTGGTAAATAGTGTCAAAAGTGGTTCTTCTTAACGAACTGAAGCGGCTTGTTTGAAATGGAGGCTTTGGCTTATAAAAGATGGCTGCCTGTTACAGGAGCATAGACGACAGATATGTTGCAGTCACTAATTGCAGATTGCGGGACCTGTCGATACATGTCTCCTTCATCTGTACAGGATGACAGTAATATGCAAGACAATTTTCATGGAACCTTGAAATCTGTCCCATGAACTTATCGCTAAAGACGGCGAAGGCGTCTTGGCAT